TCAAACCAAACTTCTGCCAACATGGATTTAAATCATTTTGTTAGATGAAGCACATTTTAAATTGCAACACGTAGATAAGTTCAGTGCAAACGATTTCTGTTACTTCCTTTCTCCCAAAGGCCCTCTGGTCACGTGGCACCACTGTGCCATAGGCAGATCGCCATACGATACGTTAGCTAATGTGTTGGTATCCTGATTAAAGGCCGGTTGGTGCCCTGCTTCAGAGGTCTAATCTGGCCTCACGCCTCACTGCACAAGCTCAATAGAGTCCCCACCCAGCATCATGACATCATGTCTTTGTGTGAAATCCTGGTGCCATTCACGGCTGCACCATGGGGCTTAACATGCAAGCGTCCACTATACCAACACACTGCTCTTTAAAGGAGAGTCCCCTGGTCCCCACAGCTCAGTGGATACACGCTGATGCCTCCACAGAGCTCTGAACGTGCTTTCTAACCTCAAATGCAATGGGTTGGGCCCACGTGCAATCTCAAAACTCCCAAATAGTTGGACTTTTTGACTGTCCCTTTGATTTGAGGGAAGCTATCACAGCTCTTTAATTGTATGGAGAGTAGTTGTGTCCATTAAGACATACTCATGTGCCTTGATGCCACGAGTCAGAATAAAAGTCCAGCAAATAATCTGCAAACATGAACTAAAATGAGTTAATAACTTATGGTGTTATTTTGCATTTAAGATTGTATAATTTATTTAAAAACAAACAAATAGATCACCGTGGGATCAGTGGAGGTCAAATCTTCATCAAGCCAGATGTCGGAGAGAAGACATCGAGATATGGACACGGAAGTTCACCAGCTCAGTGATGTCACAGAGAAATGTGAGCGCTGTCGGTTGTGAGGCGATGACTCTACGACGAGGAGCAGGGACGCTCATAAAAGAACTGATGACTCCCACTGATGGATGCTACTGATGTGATCTTCTAACATAAACCCTTCAGGGTGACTGTGCTGCTTTTTTTTTTTTTTTTTTACCATTTCAATAAAAATTAAAACATATGCCCTTTTTAATTCAATAAAAAGTTACAAAAATAAAGTTAAAATTGTGCTTTCATTCTGAAGAAAGAACGCCAAGTGAAAATTTTAAACTAAATTTCTGAACAGAAATATGTTAAACTTGAGGAGATTTTATAAAACTATATGGAAACAGCAGTCTCCATTGTTCAGACATGTTATTGGCTCCAGTTATTAGAATAAATATCACTTGTGGAATCTGTATATTTGACTGTGCACAGGGAAATGAGTTGTCCAAATAGAAATAAACTCTAAACGCTTGTCGCTGCCATGTAATTGTTCTGCAAGTTCCTTTAATTTGTTGCATCAGATTCACAAGAAGAGCACGTTTTGAAATGTTTGGTCATATAATAAATACAAGCTCTATTTAAATAAACTTTCTCACTGTTGAAGTGTAGTTTGTGTACCATTTATTAAATGTTGCCACAAAGCGTTTTACTGCTCATACACAGTTGCTTATATTGTTTTACATTTTACAACACTGCAATGAAAAGACCTCTATAATTACAAACGGATAAAGGAAAACACATTTTTGGTTTTAACATTATGTTTCAAATAAATCTAAATGACAAACAAGCTTTAATCATTTGACAAAACATCACCAGAAAAAAAAAGTGCAACTATTTCTGTTTTTTTGTTTTAAGGCAAACACATTTAGTTTTTAATCAGAAAACGCATAAATTACATTTATAATTTTCCATTTTTATCATTTTAATTAGAGTTCAAGTTCAACTTTCACATCACAACTAAATCTGTTTTTTTTTTTTTTTTTAAATATAATTTATATTTATTTTAGTTAACCCCAACAAGTTTGCAGTGCATGCCATGGTGCAGGATTTTTTTTTTAATTTTTTTAATATATTTTGTCAAATGTTTCATCAACCTTCAAATAGATTTGAACTCTGAATCCACACTGCTCCAGACATTTTATGAAACAAATGTTTTCTGTTGCGTTTACTCCTCCGGTCCACACACACAAGTTTTTTTGGTGAGTATTTGAACATTTAGGATAATCTTAAAACAATCAACCTCATTCAATAATCTGTACACGCTTAAATTTGTTCAGGGCGAACACCTTGAACAGGTAAACTGTTCGTCACATGCTCACATATATTTAAGATCATTTTAGAATTCCCAATTAACCCATTATGTACGGATAAGAGCTGTGGGAGGAAATAAAAGAGCCTGGAAAACTCACATATGGATAAGAAGGACAAACACATTTTATGCAGAAAGGATTCAGTTGAGTTTCCAACAAGATACCGTATTTTTCAGACTATAAGGCTCACTTAAATACTTAGATTTCCTCAAAAATCAACAGTGAGCCTTATAATCCAGTGCACCTTATGTATTAATTCTGGTTGTGCTTACTGACCTCGAACTGATTTTATGTGGTAGAAGTGATCAATGTTAAGAGTTAAAGTGAATACGTTGAATAAAGTTTGACTTAACGGAATGTTTTGTTTCGCTTAATGCACCTTATGTATAAAAACAGACCCGTTCATTGATATTGTGCCTTATAATCCGAAAAATATGGTAGCTTGTTTCCTGTGAGGCAACAGTGTTATTGTCATGTACTGTGAGAGGAAAATGGGTTTACAGCCTTAAAACACGTTTGAAAAAAATAACTTTTTTTTTTATTTAACAAATTAAAAAAAGAATGTCAGAAATGCAACAGTTTGATCTTTTTATTGGTTTTGCTTTCAATTGTTAGTAAAAATCAGATTGCGTAAAAAGCAAAACAAGGTGTTCTTATTAAAATTTGACCCATGAATGTTAAAAATAAATTTTATCAAAGGATTGAATATAATTTCAGATACCATATTTATTCCATTAGTAAAGTTTATTTTAAATATCTTAGCTGTGTTGAAAACCTTTAAACCTCTTCTTTATGAATTGGACTTGAACCTCCTGGAGCCCAGCGCTTCTCCTTTTTTCAAACATCCTGCTGACTTTGTTCTAACCTGACAATAAAAATAATGTTTGACTAAACCCCCCCGACAGAGTTATTTTGTGGTGTTTTGTCACACGCCTTCAAATTCTTTACTTTTCATGAAAGTAACAAATGACACATATGTCCACAGTACTGGAAATATTCTGACATGTAAAAGCGAAAATTTACCACAGAGCTTTTCAAGGCAAAGTGAACATGTGACATGCAGAATTTGTGATGTATGGTCAAGAACACCCCCACACCCTCACCAAAAATAAAAAAAATGGGTATAACAAATTAGGAACATCACAGTCAATAACCAAATGTAAAGAATTTATTGTGTGAAAATCTGGTGTACCGTATTTTTCGGATTATGAGGCGCATTAAGCCAAACTAAAACATTTTGACAGATTTTTGAGCGCCGTGTACCACAGAAGATCAGTTCGAGGTCAGTAAGCACAACCAGATTTAATACATAAGGTGCACTGGATTATGAGGCTCACTGTCGATTTTTAAGAAAATTCAAGGATTTTAAGTGTGGCGCATAATCTGAAAAATACGGTAATTTATAAATCAACAGAAAATTCAAAGGACAAGCAACTATATTAAATGAAAAAAATAAATCCACATCCATATTTCAAATTTGGTTACAACTAAATTGTTGTATCTTATTAGTAACACCTTGTGTCTTCATTTTTGTGCTTATTAATTCCTGATTTACCCGTATATACAAGTTTTTATCAGAAAATTATGAATATTGCTGCAGATTTAAAGTACCAAGACTTTTTTTGCATTTATTTTTAGCTGCTTATACTGTTGGTCAAAGATGTATGTGTGACACACAAGCCAAAGGTGATTAAAAATACTTTTCAACATTTTAAATAATATAAGTAGGAACTGGCAGCTTAAAACTGACAATGCTTGATAACAAATACAGAGGTTTATTGTTCTTTGATTTATTTATTTATTTTTCAAAATTGAGATTTATCCACTGAAATATTTTGTTCTGTACATGACATTATCCAGAACTGCAGCACAGTAACATAAACTTGAGCTGGTGGTTTGTTACTGACCTGCCTCTCTGCTCTAATGTTGGTCACTGCTGCAGCCAGAGGTTGAAACATCTGCTGCCCCGAGGCTTCAGTAGACAGAAACATACACAAGTAAGAAAGTTGCACGTTAGAAACTGGACTGTGGACCCTGTGCCCCGGCCTTGTACTGTCCACGTTGGTGTGGGAGCTTGAGGCCTGCTTCCATACATCGCTGCTCGGCCTTTGTTGATCCTATTGTCTTCTGCGTCACCACACGTCGCCCGGCAAATAAAGGCCGTCTGGCTCCAAGCTTAAATATTGCGGCAAACTAAAAACCAACCATCAGAGCCGATTCATTCACATCTGCTCAGTGGGGCGACAAGGACAGGGCTTTAGGTGGGAAAGAGGGCAGAAAAAAGTTCACTTTTCCCTGCCGGGTGCCAAGAGAACGGGACAGGACTCAACTTTGCCGGAGCCGCAGCTGTGGCAAGTTGCCCATTTGATTGCTTTTTATTCGATAATGACACGTAACAGAAGAGAGCTTTTAGTTGTTGTCTATTCTTTATTGGTTTGACTGGAATGACATTGAGAACTTTAGACAGCAGAATATACTGCAGTATTTATGTTTTACTGTGTTACAGTGAGAAACAAGTGATAGATCAATAATTTGCACCAGTTTTCAGTCAGAACATGTGTCTGGATACAGGTGTGTAAAAAAAATCTGTTTTTATTCTGGAATCAAAACTGACCAAAGCGCAGAAATGTTTTTAAACCTGTCCAAGTTAATTCTTCTTCAGCTTTTTAAATTTAACTCCATGCAGATGAATGAAATTTCTGCAAATCTTTCATTTTCAAAGAAGTTTGACGTTTTTCGGCACCGCATCGCTTACTTTTGTTGCCCTTTTTTCCCTCCCCTTGTCCTGCCTACCCCACCCTCCTCGTACGACTGCACCCTTCATGTCCCTCCCAACCCCACCCTTCATTCTGCAGTGCTACGGACCGATCATGGGTGACTGGAGCTTTCTGGGTAACATTTTAGAGGAAGTTAACGAGCACTCTACGGTGATCGGCCGGGTGTGGCTCACGGTGCTCTTCATCTTCCGTATCCTCATCCTGGGCACGGCGGCAGAGTTCGTGTGGGGTGATGAGCAGTCCGACTATGTCTGCAACACGCAGCAACCTGGATGTGAGAACGTGTGCTACGACGAGGCCTTCCCCATCTCCCACATCCGCCTCTGGGTGCTGCAGATCATCTTCGTCTCCACGCCGTCTCTGGTGTACGTGGGCCACGCCGTGCACCATGTCCACATGGAGGAGAAACGTAAAGAGCGCGAGGAGGCAGAACTTAGTCGGCAGCAGGAGCTGAGTGAGGAGCGTCTCCCTCTGGCACCTGATCAGGGAAGTGTCCGCACCACAAAGGAGACCAGCACCAAGGGAAGTAAGAAGTTTCGTCTGGAGGGCACCCTGCTAAGGACCTACATTTGCCACATCATCTTCAAAACCCTGTTTGAGGTGGGCTTTGTGGTGGGCCAGTACTTTCTATATGGCTTCCGCATCCTGCCACTGTATAAATGCAGCCGTTGGCCCTGCCCCAACACAGTGGACTGCTTTGTGTCTCGCCCAACAGAGAAGACGGTCTTCATCATCTTCATGCTGGCCGTGGCCTGTGTCTCACTCTTCCTCAACTTTGTGGAGATCAGCCACTTAGGCCTGAAGAAAATCCGCTTTGTTTTTCGTAAGCCAACTCCAGCCCCAGCCCAAGGTGAGGGGTCAGCGCCCCTGCCTCTTCAAGGAAAGAGTCTGCTCCCACTAGCAGTTCCCGCTCTGCAGAAATCAAAAGGCTACAGGTTACTGGAAGAAGAGAAAGCTCCTCCTGTAATGCACCTGTACCCTTTGGCTGAAGTTGGCATGGAGGCCGGCCGAGGGACCCCACCCTTCCAGGGTCTGGAGGAGAAGATGGAAGAGGTGATGCCCATGGAAGACATCTCTAAGGTGTATGATGAGACTCTGCCCTCCTACGCTCAAACTACCGAGATAGGGGGAGTGACATTACACGAGGAGGAGGCAGAGGAGGTGCCTCCGCCCGAGGTTAAAGCAGGGAGAACAGCAGAGAGTGTGGATGAGGATGTAGAGGCAGAGGTGAACGGGGAGATGGCAACTCCAGACGAAGCAGGGATGGAGGCCACTGATACAATAGAGGACACCAGACCACTGAGCCGACTGAGCAAAGCGAGCAGCAGGGCCAGGTCAGATGATCTCACCGTATGAGCCTGTGAGAGAAAGCACGCCTTCCCACCAAAACAAACAAACAAACAAACAAAAAAAAAAAACGAGAGAGTACACACATAAGTCAAAACAAAGCACACTCGTAAACAGGCAGGAAAATACGTGGATAGAAAACAAAAATTAACAGGGATAGAAAAGACAATTCTGAGTGACAAAACAACAAAGATCAGAGTGTTTGTGCCAAAACACCAACAAAAAAAAGCAGATATTAAAAGAGAAGTCTTTTTATTAAGTGTGTTTTTATATTAAAAAATAAACCAAAGATATGTGGGTGGGATTTTTATTTTTATTTTTAATTTTTTTACTTGAAGCAAATTTTTGTTAAAGTTTTAGGCGACTTTTCTAATACAAACATCACAGACGAGGAAAAATTGACATTTCTACACAAGGTTTGAGTAGCTAGGGAAAAGAGAGCTCGTGCTTCTGCAGATCAGTAATTTGCTGTAAATCGACACAGACGTTCATTTCTCACTTTAGCGGTCACTGTCAACGTAACATCTCGCTGCAGGCCTTGTGATGGCGGTCACACACCAAACAAACAGCTGCAGGTGCGTTTTCAGGCCTACAGCTTTTGTAACGCAGGAAAAAACAACAACAACGCGGTTCTTCAGGTTCGGAGGTGCGTACGCCTCTTTTGCACATTCAGAGGTTTCAACCCTGCAAGGTTTTTTAACTTTTATAAAACCTCGTGCATCCATTTACTTTGGATTTTTACAAGCGAAGAGAGATCTTCATCGGCTTCATCGACATTTTGTGTTTATATATCGATACCAACGAAGCTGAGTTAGTGAGGGGAAATGAAGCAAACTATAAAAGACCACTTGTTGAACGTCTGCCTCTATGTGATCTGCGCTCTTTCTTTTTTAGATCTGCTCATGTTTTGTAGCTTTTAAGAAATCTGTGTACTGTGATACGAGCTGCCCGTTTTGCCCAATCAGAGCGAGAACTGTAGTAGTGACCTCAGGCCAAATCCTCTCTTTTCGTGCTGTACAAATACAGCGTCCGGGCGATAAAGATCACGCAGCATCAGCACATAGCATTGTTGGAGGCGAGACAATAAAAGAAACAGCACTCATCAATGAAAACAAGCATCCTTGACATGGATGCAGGAAAAAAAATCCTATCACTTGATTTTATGTGACTTGTTAGTCATCAACCCTGGGAAAAAACAAACGTTTTGACATGCTTCAAACATTTAGAGAGTAACAAACGTGTTTGTGTCTCGTTCTACAGAAGTGCCCTTTTACTAGTTTAATCATTTCTGTAACGGACGCAGCAGCTGCTTTTACTGTCTAGAGGAAAGAAAGGGGGTATAAATGTAATTATAGTGATTTTATCTAAAAAATAAAAATAAAAAAAACAAGACCCCGCTGAGATATTTTCCACATTAAAAGTGAGATTTCTCACAAACTTTACTTACTCGACTTTGTTCAGTCAAACTGTACCATCTTGCGTGCCTTATCTGTAAATATCCTTCTCAAATGTAAGAAGGTGGTGATATTGCTCTGGGACCTTTGTGAACTTGATTTTTTAAAATTTTTTAACAATGATAATTTTGATTCTTTATGTAAACCCCCCACCATACAAACCCACTCGTATAAAAATGTCTCAGTGTTATGCAGCAAATGTGGAGTTTTATATTAATGATGCATTAGGTTGCATGTTTGAGCCCAGTTGTTGCAGATTTATGCTTCAGTATGTATTTTGGGGTATGATCAAATGGCTCCAGAGAACCTCAACAAGGGGGAGGCAACTTTGACCTCTTTGTGACCCTGGTAATCTCCTCACCTCTTGTGATTCAATAGAGAAACCCATAAAATCAATGATCAGAGCATGAAGCTGGTTCTTTTTTATCATTTCAACTGGTGATGTATGACTTTTGTACGTTAAAACTGTTGCATTTCCTGTACGTTTGTAAGAAGACCATCATTAATATTTGGAAAGAAAAAGTTATAATTTTTACTAACTTGTAGTCTTATTTTCTGATAGATGTGTGGCAGTGTCTTCTCTTGGAATGTGAACCAACTCAATAAAAAGTCACATGTGGTCAAGAAGTGTTGATTTTTCTGTACGTAACCACAGAGACGCTCCCCACACATACACACACATATACAACGCATGATTTTTCAATGGCATGTTAAATCAAAGACATTTAATGATTTGAAATAATTTTTCTTAATTAAGATTAATCTTTTTGATACTGTTTGAAACATTTAACTGACTGAATGAGCAAGGCCCTTAACCCCCCCCCCCCCCC